TTTGTGCTTGCGATGCGTTCTTGCCTTTTCGGAAGTAATACAATAAAATGTGTCGGAAGTGCACGTCCTGTTCCTTCATTTTTAAATTGGGATAAAAACAAAACTAAAGAAGAAAACAAAAAAATTTTTTACTAATTGACCTAGAAGCCCATACAGTAAAAAAAAATATAGGTTAGATGCTCTGGCCACGTTAACAAAACAAAAGAAAGTATAGTGAACCTGTCAACAAAAACGGCAATGACTTAGTTGCCAACCCAATAGCTATATTTACCTAACTCACTAATACCTTTTCAGGTCCAATTTTAATCATTTAAGCAGACGATTTTTGCCAACTAACAACAAGTAGATTGCAATGCAGGAAGACGAACCCCAAAAGCAAGTAAATTCGTTTTTAAATGGTTGCATTACTGCGCGAAGGCAAAGCTCTTTTGACAGAGCAGAGTTGAAAAGATGAATTTTAATAGACACTTTTGACACGTTTGTACATGACTAGACTCGGCCACTTCTAACTCGGTTTCAGACACTTAGCCCTTAGCGTAGGTCAGCTCACACAGCAATACTCTTGAATAGCAGTAACTCCAAGCCCCAATTAGGAGTCCTCTCCAACACTCGACTTAGATGACGACGCGGCAAACTGAGAAATTCGAACTTTATCGTCAGTCTAATAGACTTACAGTCTGCTCGGTTGATCATTACGGCCATAGGGAATACGCTGACGTGATTTCTTCAAAGACAAAGGACCTGTTCTTTCTGTACAGGGAGTCGAAGAAGCGAAGCCTGTAAAATTGAAAAAGTAGGTTCGTGCTAGTAAACTAACCGGTTAGTGAAATGGTTTGCCTCAAAACGACTTCAAATACCATAATCTTCTTCTTTAAAGTCGAACTGTACGCAGTGGTCAAGTCAACTGCAAGGAACTCTCAAATGTCACCGAAAACCACCCGTGACCTGAAAAAATTATAAACGAGAGCTGAATAAATTAGTCCAGCAATAGAGTAACAGCGTAACTAAAATCTGGATTTGAGATAGAAAAACATGTGGAAAATCATTGCCACTTCCAAGTCTCTGAATAGATATATTTTTTATCGAATTGCAGGCGTTTTCATGGTTATCAATGGTTCCTTTGTTGACTTCAGGCTCCACAATTGGGAAGGAATATCAAAGTGAAAAAGGTCGAGATGGGGGGAGGCAGAAGAGTGTTTCAAAGATGTAAAAGAGACAAGCACAAAGTTAGAAAGAAAGTGAGGTGAGTACGGTAGAATTAGTCGAATTTGACATACAGTAAGATGAAGTAATTTGGATCACAGTTGCCACGTATAGTCCATCGGTGGTGGGAACTAAAAAGGTATTAAAAGGTAATTAGCAAATTCTTACAATAACGGCTTGCCTTGGTAGGAATGGTGCCTGGTATTCATTTTCAGAGAGAACCCATTCCAAATAGCGAATGTATTCAATGACACTCTGTAGAAGGTCCAGCAGTCTCACCCTCTTTCGATTTTTAAGTTTTGGAACCATTAGTTTAAGCGTCTTTATGCACATTCTCAGAGAGCGTCTCGTTTCGGGAGTAACATCGCTAAAGAATAC